GTACCTTAAATAACTTTAACGTATACCTTGCTTTAAAAGACGACGCAAGGCCGACAGACTCGGGAGTGAGAGGGAACAGGCTTCTTCTAGGCCACGAAGATCCATCTTCCCCACGTAACGCGCGCCCTTCCATCCCATCAAAACTTTTTTTCTTCTTGGATGACTTGGCGAATGTATAATGTAGTTTGCTACTTTGTGCACTCCTGCTCATGCTAAAGTCTGAAGGCAAGGTTTTCGTGTGTGTGTGTGGTGTCCATATCTAGGAATCTTAAATTTTCTGTCTTAATTAAGGGTGATAACTGTATTTAGTACGCAACTATCAGTGCTGCTAGTATACATTGCACGACTGGAAAATTAATTCGTTTAAGAACTGGTCTAAATTCTGTCTGTTGAGATTAAATATGAACTAGTAACATCTAGGAAATTCCCCATTATCGATCCATTTCACGATTCTAGCGTTAATGTTGAAGTCCTGTGGTATAGCCTTGAATATTTGTTCTGTTTAAATCCATTAATCCATTCGTCAAAGGAGTCCTACCAATTGCATATAATGATTCATCTTTTCAGATTTATTTCTGGATTGGAACAGGGCAGACGGTAAAGGCTGGTGATGATAAATGCATTAACGAGAAAGTGCTGAAATTAATTAAAACCATTGTAGTTTTGTAAGTTTTGAAATAGTTAATGATCGTATAAGCAGTGCTGTCTTTAAAAGAGAATTGAAACGCTGCCAACTTTATCCGCTTTAACTCATTTGTATGAAGTATTGTGTTAATAATGTCTATAATACTGAAATCTCAGAAAATAAAAATGCGAGATAAGCAGAAAATATAGTTTCTGGGAAATCATAATGTAAGTTTTGAAAGTATGGACCTATAGACCTATATCGTGATTATACTGATCTTTAGTTTTTGTGGTTTTCTTCAGTCTCTCTGAGAAAACAGTGAAATATATCGTTATCAATCTGCTACTCTCGCCTTAAAAGAGTTTGTGGCCAGTGGACTGTATCAGGAGACGGTTGAATATAGTCTACACAGAATTAGTTTTAAGATCATCTATAATACATTTTTACCATTTCTATAGATCTTCCAAGCAAGGCTTTCTGACTAAATTTTGTATCATTCATAATTTCCGTCTTGCGTGCCACGTGTCCCTCCCACCTATTCCTCTGTTATTTCGTCACTATGAATAATCAGTCCATAAGCAGTATATAACTAGTATATCTTTCGGTCAGACTCAAAGTATGTAATTATATGCTACGAATGTAAAACGTACTCTTCATCACATAATTTTTGGTGAACTACAGGCCCGGTATTTTACTGAGAAACTTGTTTTAGTATCAGAGTATACACGCTGGTTTATACCCCTGCTACTTGTGTTGCATGCTGTGTATAAAGATTCTGAGACGCCACGCCTTGTTTATGAAGCTTGTATATCAAATACACGGGACTTCATATAAAACACAAGTAACTTGACCCTGGCGCTATATCTAGCTTGTCCTCTGTGTGGTTATAATACTGAGTAAGGAGCTCAGAAATATAAATTTAAACTTTTTACTTCTCAAAATAATAATAAAATGAAGTTGAATTAATTTTTGTAGCGGGTCAGCTAGAGTTTCATGTGACATGAATAACATTGATGTGTATTCAGAGTTGAAATAATATTTTTGAATCCTTTCCAGAAAGCACAAGAATTCTAATTTAAAAGTATATTTCATATGAACGTTTACGTAAAATATGTGAATATCATTGACCCCAATAAATGCTCTTAGATCTCTTCAGTTTTAACTCTGTCGCAGGCATATATATTTTTTAATTTTAAACTTACTTGACGGGTGAATAAGACGAACATTAATAAACAAATAATTAGGGTATTAAGCTTTCTCAGTTCGGCAACACTCACTCACACACTCTTGCATTCTTCACCCTAAGATGTCATGCATTAAATAAAATGGTAAGTCTATTTTACAGCCAGCAGAATAATCGTAAGAAGGGGGAGTTTTTATTTTCTCGTTACCTATGTACTGGTAAGTAAACATGAGATGCAAAAGAAAGTTACCCCAGTTTTTAATTAAGCACTTTGTGGGAATGTAGGTATAGCTCCACGCCTTCTTAATAGATGGAGGTGAGTGGTCACCCCACGGAAAGGGCTCCCAGATAGGAAACTTGGCTAGACGTAGATTCGTGGTAGCAAAGATGCATAATGGTTCACACTAAGTACTGTGATTCCTAAAGAGTTAACCTGTCGTGGTGAACTATTATTACAAATTTCTTTAGCTTGTCTACTTGGTATCTGGGCGTGATGCTGACCACTCACCCCCATCTGGTGCCGAGGTCAAGAAAGAGTAGGAGCTATACCTCCACTTCCCCCTCCCCCAAGTGCCTGCATAGGCATGTAGCGGGACATTTTACTTGGTATATGGACATCAGTGATAGTCCAAAGGAGGTTAGTTGCATTCTCGTTTGTGTCTTGATGACGAGTACTGGCGAAGAGCGAACATTTTAATTCGTCTTTGTAGCAACAGAGAGTGCACAAAATGTGTGCGAGTGTCGCTGGTGTAAGTACGCAGAACGGTTTGTTTTCTAACGACCAAGCTTGTCGATTTGGACAGCAGATGTTTGAATTTCTTCATTTCGTAGGCCTTGGTATAAAATCGTGTGTTGATTCAAGAAAGATAAATGTTTATGCTAACTGCGCAAACTCAGAGTTTTTGATCTCACACGTATCTCTCTCCCAGCATCTCTTGATGATGGTCCTGCGCATGAGAACTTCAGAGATGAAGTGGGGGTGAGAGGTCCCCACGCAGGATAGAAGGTTCTTATTGGTTGGGTTGCGATGACGAATGATTGTGACTACTCGGCTATGATATGGGAAATGGTGGAAAAATACCAGAAACTTCATTGTTTTATTGAATAGGCGAAAGGCCGCTACTAGAGTCTAGGTTGTAATTTTTAAATTGTTTTGGTCAAACCTCGTACCACATTGTCATTCCTAGTTTTGTCCTCATGATCATCTATTTAAGTGCTAAGTTTCATAACTACTATAGTTGATGTAGTGTCGTGTTATGCATGAATCGGTGCTCCAGTAATACTGGTCACATTCCGGTTCAAATGTGACTGAAGGTGGATGGGGCTCAACTTTTTTTAAGTTTTCCGAAATTCACGTATCAGCATTACCTCTACATTTTCTTTCATAATTAGTAATCGATTCATCACCTTCAATCGACAAGTCAATCAAGTTAAAATACCGCATTAGAAATGATTTTTACAGAAATCCTAGGTTACGCAATGCCACTGATAAGATTCTAAACAAGTGGATATCAGAAATATTTTGGTAAGGAAGTTTCCGCAATGTACAACAAATAAGGGAAGTATCAAAATAAACATTTTGAAACAGAGTTTCAATCAACTAAACGATTTATAGGCTCTATAGAGGTTTGTATATTTTTTGAAACAGTCGAGCCATTAGCGATTGGTGTCCAAGTGTTTCCAGACTGAAACTTCTAGGTTAGTTTCTTGGAATGGACGGTTTGACAAAATTGGAACCGATTTGTGGCCAGAAAATTAATACGCATATATTTATTTTTACTGTGAACAAATTTTAAACCTAATCAATATCGGCCTTATGTTTGTCATTATTTGAGACCTGTTCGCGTACTTATGGCTTTCAGAAATTATTAGTGAAGTTAATAGGGCTTAACAGAAGTAAACAAACGTGATCATAAGAATTATCTCTGAATTTTTGTAAGCTGTAAATGCGTAGGTCTGTAGGTCTATGACACAGTAAACAGGATTTGTAAGTCTTACGTAATGCTGACTTAAAAAAAAGAAAATACGATGTTTTGTATCTTAACACAAACCATAGTTTAATTAATGCCTGTCTAGTCTTGGACTTTGCCACAAATACATGAGTCTGAATAAACCAACATCCGGGCCGAGATTTGAAAGAAATACTTTTCGAATTACTTTGCCATAGCACTGCAGGAATCTTTACCTCTTAAACAGGACGGTTATTTGGTGGATGCCTCTTAGTTCTCGTGGACACTGTATTTAGATAACCTGTTAATTGCATGGGGTTCCATAAAGAGAAGCAGTGAGACAGTTTGCAAAAATGAGACTGAAGATGTAAGATTTGAGGTTTTCACAGCAGTGAGTTTGAAGATTTCTGTCTTCTGGGTTGTTCCGCTGTGTAGTCTGGTGGATGTTTACTAACGTTTCAGAGGTCATACTACCTCTGGCATCAGGGAAAGGAATATGTCGCCCTGATGACGGAGGCAGTATGACCTCTGAAACGTTGGTTAACATCGAACAGACTACACAGCGCAACAAGAAGACAGAAATCTTGAGACTGAAGATCTTACCGAGTATGAAGTGTTGAACCAGTGCATTCTGCATTTTCATCTTGTCGCCTCCTTGGTGTTTCCTATTATTTTCATCGTTCCCATCTTTATTTACTTGTTTGAATTTCTTCCCTCGTTCGCCGCATTTCTTCCCTTCGTTCTCCGGCAGCATCTGCAGCAGCAGTCGGAAACTTATTACTTTCATTTAAGGACGTGGACAGCTAATTTCCATAAATATTGTGACTAGAATTTAAGGGGGAGAAGTGGGATGCATGGGGAGGTAAAGGGGAGAGGAATTACTTGGCGGTAAAGAGGGTTGTAAAGGGGTGGGAGAATAGTAGAGAATAGTGTACTAAAAGAGGCCGAATGCAAAGGAATTCTGCGAATTTAGTGGAATGTGTTTTATATATAAATAATTATGATAGTCTAATTACCTACACTTTGTGTTCTTGAATAACCTACTGGTTTGTCGCCGCTTTCCTGATTAATCTCGACTCCAAGTGCACAAGAGCGTCACATTGTAATATACAAAACCAACTTCTTCAGTCTGTTTATAAACCTTTGAGTATACGCTTAAGTGGTCTCTACTTCTTTGAGCCCGCGTGATGTATTGATGCTTCTTTATTCGAGTTTAGAAACTGTAACCAGGACAGCGGCGAGAAACGAACGGTCCAGAAATAACTGCAGCTTCCGGATTCTCTGCCACTGGATTTCTTATTCTAAATCTAAGAAGCAGGAACCTGGAATGTGAATGTATGTAGGCAGTCAAGCTACATAATAAATTCTGCTGAGTTCCTTCAGTCAGTCGGAAATGTAACATTTTTAAAGTGAATTGGTCTTGGTATGAATGTGTTATTCTTTCATTTTTAATTCATATATAAAACTTGACGCCCGATTTTAGGCAATGAGCTCTAGCGTAGTGTACTGTCCACAGATCACGAGAAAAACCCTGCTGAGGGAAGTCGTTTCTGGTGCGGTGCGGGGGGAATGTTACTTATCAGCTGGACTAGAGGGCTGCTACTGGTGGGAAGTGTGATACGTCAGAGATTTACGCTACTACACACAGACAGAAAACATCAAGCCGTTACGAGTAGCGTGTAGTGAGCGTACCTCTAATGTGTTCTGCGGGTGTTGCGATAATATTCTAGATTAAATCACTGTGCCGCTGTGAGGTAATCTTAAAGCTGTACCCATTAGAACACATGAAAGATTGTTGTCTGTTGTTCGTTCAGTGGTTGTGGAACGAATGCTTTTAGGATCGGTCGTCACTCATGCGCGTATATCGAATTCCTAGCAGGGATTTTCTCCTGATCTGTGGACTGTAGATAGCACTGCAATACGTGCCCTTTTGTTTAATTTTCAACTTGAGTCCAGTAAAAAATTTAAAGAAAACAATGGGCGTCAATAAAAGATCAGCTGCTTAATACTTTAATGGAAATAATCTCTGTTTATTCAGATAATTTTGCCAAACCCATAAATACAATGGTTTATACAGTAACCACAGTGCTTTAAAAGTTATTTAACCATGTCACCTTCAAGTTCAGTGGTAACACACGCTTAACAAATTTAAGCAACGTTTATCACATAATTTTTGTGATGGAGATGTGTGTTTTGAGTTAAGGACTGAATTTTTAAACACTACTTAGAATAGCTTTGGCTTCAAAAGGTTAATGAAACAAGTATGATTGTTTATGGTGTGTGTAACAGTACTGTGAAAAATAGAAAAATCATGTCGAATTAGATAATTGATTTTACAAATTGAAAATTACATTTTGACAGATAAAATTTTGTAACGAGGGGTAAAATTTTACTGATATGTTACTACAGTGATCAGATAAATAATTAAATGGCCTCTATATATTATGAGGCAGTAAGTAATGTTTACAAAATTTATTTAGAAGAATTGAAGGGAAGAGGCAACTTGACAGATATAAACGAAGGTGGAACGGTAACATTAAAATAGATCTGAAAAAAGCATGGCGGGAGGGCGTGTGCTTGGTTCATCTGGCGCATGATCGAATCCAGTAGCGGTCTCCTGTGGACATTATTGGCAGAAAGTATATTGACCAGAAAAAACTATTTCTAGTTTTTTAAACGGAATTCTGTTCAATGAGTTCGTTCGTCGATTATATTAATACGGTATCGTGTTTGGCAAGCACCGTGCTCAAGTTGGAAAACCATTATAATATTTATATTTCCAGGCTATCTAGTTTGAAACTACTGTTAAATATGTATTAAAAGAGCCGTCCACACATCTACCACCATATAATTCAACTATCACATTCACCAAACTACATTTTCTTACAAGACACCATCCGTGCCCATCGTTCCGTAGTTGGAAAGGGAAGTAATTAATGTTAATCTTAATAGTACAGAATGAGCCACCCCCACCCTCTTATTCTAGAACCCCCCAAGAAGAAAATACACAGACTCTTAAGGGAAGAGGCAGAGGGTGACAATGTTTTATTGGATAAGGAAGGCTAGAATTTGTGTTTCATTGGATTATAGAGAAGACGAAGTTTCGGAGGGTAGAAAGATTGAAGGGGTTGGGTGGTTGAGGAGACGGTGAAGCGTATGGGTGAATGAAGTTGAAGTTCATATATGTAACGCAAGGAATGGCGAGACAAAGGTGTCAAAAACACTGCTCTCTATTGTGTCCGGAACAATTGCTTTATAAAACACTCCACGTTTGCACAGATTGCAACCAAACAAAAAATATCTTGCGAGATTTAAGATTCTTACGGCGGCGAGTATTACGATGGATATCCTCTAAGATTTAGATGTGCTTGCTGTCTCAATTGTCAGGGTGACCTCTGAAACGTCGGTAAATATCTATCAGATCAAGAACCCGGAAGATATCCATCTTCGAGAAGTTCCCTTTTACTAACTAAGTTCAGCATAAAATACGTATTTAGATGCAGGGCTGTTTAGCATAAAATGCAGCTTAAGCAGTGGAGCGGCTACTTATCTAGCGATTATTTAATTTCGAAATGGACAACGCGACTTTGGGTATTCTTATCCTTATACACTAGCAACAACGTCAAGGAGTTCGATTTTGCTGAGTTGAAGCCGGTAGAAGCCGTGTCATACGGAAATGTAATGTCATTAATTCCAACCATCTTACCACAGTGCTAAGGTATTATATTTTAGTAATAATATTATCTTTTTTAATATTATGCCGCTGTTGTGATATACAGATAATATCCCTCCCATTTTATTGGTTTGGCGATGCACTACTAGACAGGTCGGAACACGTGATACTGATGTGGTCCCGTTTGTGACCTACGTAATTTTTATTGCAATTACAAACTAATCGATTCAACTTTATGACAGAAAATGTTGGTGAAATAAGTGTTCCCTTTGATTCCGAAGATCATATGAGTAGTATTTAAAACTTTAGTTCTTTCCTGTTCCAAAACACAACGCATCGATTATGTCTGTAGGTTTTCGCTGGTGGAGTTCAATGTATAAATTTGGCTCTCGGGTCAGAGGCGAAGTTATATATTTCAAAGATCAGTTGGTTATGCTAAGCAAATAATAGCTGTTTACTCTAAAAATCATACAAAATCCATAAATGCACCCTGCGGACAAAATTCAGAGTTATTGATTGCTAAAGCAGGTGGTACATGTAGTTGCCAGTGGGCTTTAAAGGGTCAAGTGTTATATTTAACTGAGTGGTTTAGTAGCACATATATAACGCACGTTGTTGAATTAAGGTTTAGTAAATGTAAGAAAGAAAATCTTAAGAGAGAGTAATGCAGTGATTTGATTATTCATTTCACGAAACTTCATAGGCGGAAGTGTTTTCATGCGCCCAGCATTCATTCTTCCTTTTCGTTTCTTTTTTGAGCTGTCTCATATTTAAGGGGATACATTAGTGAGGGTTCAGATAAGCAACGCCAAAGACACAATGTAAGGAAATGGAAGGCGTGATATGGAACTGTGAAACGGGATTGGGGATGAGATATAGGAAGAGGGATTAGAATCAAGAGGATAGGAAAAGGGGGTTGGAAGATGAAGCAAGAAATGAGATTTAAAGGAAGCATTAAATTGGAGTGAAACTTTGGAGAATTTTGGTTAAGGGTGTGGGATAATTGGGCGAAAGGAGTTCCTTTTTGATATATAAAAACCAACTCGCTCCCCCGTAAGCAGTTCTTCCCTTATTGTATCTTATAACTGAGGAATTATTGCATTATCTAATAAGACTAATTGCTTGTCATTTATCTTTCCCTCTCTAATTACTTTACCGAAGCACTGCAAAGCGCCGTTATTCCTTCAGAATGCAAATGTTATTAAACCCGACCGTTCTCTGTGTATACAGACTGTCTTATTCTTATCTATAGCATAATAATCGCATAATAAAGTTACACGTACAGCATTACAATGACAAAACGTTTGGAAACACCTAAGGTTCAGCGGTTAAATTGCCTGTTTGTGCAGCTCAAGACGTCCATTTTGTATTATTTGTGGTTTATTTAAATATGTATAGCACGCAAATTAGGGCCCTCGGATAGGAGTTTGGGGTGCTCGCGAGAATTTTAGAATATTCGTACGAAGTTTTAAATGTTTAACTTCTAATATTCGTAATGCGGTTATTTCAATTCGTTTATTCCACTCGATAATAAACCTTAGTCAGGATAGCAGGTCTGTGGTCCAAGATTTAAACCCGGGACCTCCGGAATACGAAGTAGAAGTGCCAACTATTCGGCCACGTCGTCTGATCAAGACCTTAAAACTGAATCATTGATCGCTATTAGGTCTGAATTTCACTACACACGTGCCAGCATATTCTATGAGATATTTTTTTATTAAAATTAAATGTGCTGTTGTCATGTTATAGAATAGAATTTTAAAATACAGACCTACCAGTTCAAAGGGAGAACCTTTGATATCTGTGATGGATGGAGAACATGGTTTCAACATTTCATAATCTGATTACCTATTTTTGAAAGAGGACAAGTATTAAACATATTTCCTAATTATATTTTAAAATACTTGCAAAAATGAATTACTCAAATTCCAGCATGTATGCGGAACCATTAAGGGAATTCTCGCCATCGTAATGAGTAAGGACACACGTTTAAAATGGCAGCTTCTGCTCTGTTACATGGATGTTAGAATTGGTCACTTAGTAGAGCAGACAAAAGTTGTCTACCTTCATGAAGATCATAA